CACGCGCTATTCCCATTCCCAGGCTCCAGCCACTGTCCTATCCGCCCAGTTTTCAGACGCGATATTGGGGGTTTCATGGAGTAAATCCTTTGGAACCAACAAATGTATGCTCGGTTGGGAAGTCGGTTCGGTGGGGCAGATGCACTATGGCTCCTGTCTGCATTCATTGTCAAACGAGTCGCGAGCGAGCTCGCGCGTGGGTTAATTGAGACATGGGAATCAGGTCGTACATTGCTAATCAGATGCACCAAACTGGTTGCCGCATAGGAAGCACCAAGTGGTCGAGCTAAAGGACACAATACAGACGTATAATTGGTGTCTGTTACGAGGGCCGATGCAGGTGTCAGGAAGAATGAGTTGATTGGCTAGCTCACAAGTTAAACAGTTCGCTTTGGTTTGCCTATTGGTATATATAAAAGATGTCTGACAGTTCGACCATCGTTTTAGATGATGTCCACCGTGTGCCCCACAGTTACAGCAGCAATGGGAGCCACGGCTTTTAGCGCACCGTGATAGCTTCAAGCGCGTCAGATTGTTTATAGTGAGGAGCAAGTGCGCTGAGTCGTCGACCTCACTCTCCCTTCCCACTCCCACACCCCAGCCGCTGTCCGAGCCGGTCAGCAGACTGGAGTGGGGAATGCGCGCGGTGGCTTTCATGGTCGAATGACCATGACTGCATATAAAAGATGTACCCAAGAGGCGTTCCACATGCTCAGAAGAATACACAACAGGACACCTGTGCAATTCTTCCTTAGTGAATTTTTCTCGTAAATGATCGCTTGGGTAAGGTCGGTTCTATGTGATGACACGTGCGCTCTTGAAAAAGGGTACATTGGGTCATGAACGGGGATCCTCGTTGCGGTTGAACGGACATTTCCATTCCGCGATGAAGTCGAGTGGTCATTTCAAGAGCTTACTTTGTCTGACGCACTCGCCGCAGACCGTTACGTATGGCGAGGTGACATATGTGACATCATCTAGGCCGGTTAGAATAGGTCCGAGCACAGTCGTAGCAGGTGACTGAGAGCAATAAACTGTCGGTCGCCACCAAATGCATCGGTGGAGACTTCTATTGTGCCTTATCCTGGCATGAAGACGTGCTCAGCACGGCGGACACAATCCGCTAACCGCCTTTGACTGGCGGTCGGAAACTGGTGGGGTATCCGAGGCATTTGTCTAAAGTCCGCTGACCCCTTCGACGATTCCCATCCTTCATCCCCACCCTCAAAATAAAAAACTCCCACCGAGGGCGGCACGCATCCCTCAAGGTCATCCAAGCTAATTCAGGTGGCCTCCTCGCCATAATAAAGTCGTGACTAGCAGCAGAGTTGAAGCAGCTCCATCTAGAGACCTGTTTACCCCTTCGAAGGGTTGGCTAGTAAATCTAAGCTAAAACATACCATTTGCAATCTAGCCGTGGGTTAGGGACGCAAAACAGGCGGTTGAACAACCATAACAAACAAGGGGCTCGCCCCTCCCCGTGCATATCTGCAGTCTACCAGAGTTACAATGCCCATTGTGCCAGCTTGAAATTTGAATGCGCTTTCAGACAATTCAATGAATGGCCGACCGCGAGGCAGGACTTCTACCACCCGGGAACTTTCGCACTATGCTAGGGCAGCTGCACCTATGATGGAGCAGCCACGTCGTAAGGATGGATGGTGATCCTCTGTCCAAGTGTCCTTGCAAAGAAACATGGGAAACCTTACTTGAGATGCTGGGAGTCAATCAGGATAAATGACATGGTTTAAATTAAGATCGACAGACTTGACACTGGTAGGGGGCACTCACCGATCGTTCATACGGAACTCACTCCTTCCGTTGTGCCTTAAGGTCTCTCTCTCGAGCCCAACCAGCAGCCGCACAACGGCGCATGATATATAGGCAGAATGGTATTACCGACAAAGACAAGGGTAATACCATTCTGCCTAGACTTGACACTGCCGTAAATGCTGGGGCATCAGTCTCTGAAGCCAATCGAAAAGCGGCTGCTAGGGCCAAACGAGTAGCCCGCAAGTCTCAATTGCCGCGGACCAACGATGGAGGCACCCAAATCCTGCCATCATGATCTCAGTGCAGTAGATATTAATGATGTCGACTGACCTCATCGAACGTCTCCGGAAACAATACAACATCAATGTGACAAACCTGCCCCTCAACTCAAAAAATCGCGAATATTTTCACAACTGTCATGAACACCATCATCCCGACTGAGGACACTTCTGTCATCCGGCTTATCATAACCACGCTCAGCTTTTTGACCAACAATGTGAACTCATTTCCAACCTCATTTCATACTGCGATTGTACCTCCAAAGTATGCATCGGCTTGCTTAGTCACTTAAGAAGCAATCTCACTGCCAGCGGTGGCCACGGTCTGGAGCCCCGTTATACACATGTCACGCACGCCTCATCTGTCCACACTGCTACTGGAGCGTCGGTCTTCTGCGAATCCATAAAAATATCCAGTAAGATGGCACAGTCCACATCCCTCAATACAACTTTCGTGCGTGCACACACGAGAGTTCAGCCGTCGGCTTCGACGATATCCACCGTGTGCTCCACAGGAAGGCGGAGCAGGGATGGTGACTTGCGCGGAATTATTTTAAAGTGGTAGTGGACTTGCGCAGCATCTGCCGCACTCTCCCCTTCTCCCTCACCTGGACCTGGTGTGAAGACAGAGTCAAGAAGACCAGACGTGGGGGAAAGGCGCAGGTGGCTGGCACGGCCGGAGCCGCACGTAGGCGTGCCACCACACCCCCTGGTGCACATAGCAAATAACCATGATTATTTCGCTAACGAAAACACAACAACAACACCCCAACAGGGACCAGAGCGACGAAAATGACTAGGCAGCCATGCCCACCACCTGTGTACGTAGCGAGAGCGCAAGCGCATCTACCGGTAGGGAACCAGATGTCAGGTGCCAACGCATAGCGGGCTGCGATGGCCATGGTTTGCTGATGCTGGCATAGCACGCGCTTACAGACCTTTTGACCTAGAAGGGCGACACGTGATTTTGCATATAACCTGGGCCGTTATCCTTCAAGGTTAGGTAACCAAACAGTCGTCGACTGAGAGGCACTACCTATAGAGTACACAAACTCCTCACATACATGAGAGTGTCACAGGTCGCTGGAAGAAGAGTCTCTTCAGCTTGGCACTCAGCCCGCCAGTCCGCCGCTCCACGCAAACGCACACAACTGGACGGACGGTGAGCGCTGAGTTGGGGCGTCAGTCGGCCCCCTTTCGAGCCACGGCGCTCGACGCACCATGGCAGTCTCGGACTCCGATCACACA